ATTAAGGAGGCAGCTGCAGCTGTTGTGTAATTGAAATTTTTTTTTTTTTTTTTGCATAAAATTTCCGGCGTATAAAAATTTCGACGGAAATATTTTTCCAGCGGAAATTTCATCGGAAATGCGTCGGAAATATTTCCGACGCATTATTTTGTGCCGGAAGTCCTTTTACGACGCGCGTGAAACCGGCGCAAAAATTTCCGCCGGAAATCCGTCGGAAATGCTATTTTCTGACGGATTTTGGCCATTTTTCCGACGAAAATGGCCGCCGGAAAATGACGTTTTTTCTGTAGTGCCACTTGCTACGTTGTCGGAGAACAAAGGAGAGGAAGATGAGAGAAGGCAGAGAGAGCAGAAGAGAGAAAGCTGAGCGAGTCATTTTTTTTATCATATATATTACGAGATTTCTTGAATCCAATTTCTATTTTCAAATTTTATCTATCCTAAGATGAAAAAAATATAATATCTCTCATTTCACCATACAACTATTAATATTTGATAAATATCATCACGTTGAATATTTTAAAAAGTTCAAATTAAAATTTTATTGGTAAGTTTATCATGTTGTTATTTTAATTAAAATGAATACATACATAATGAGTATAAAATGACCATATGTCAATGTAATACATTTGGGCATTAAATACTTGATGTGCACTAATTTGCTATTCATCTGGTCTAACATACATTTTACTACAATAAATTTATTTATATTAATGAGCATAGTTGATAAATCTACATGTTATGAGCATTCCATATGATCTCTATATGATGTATGTTATTTTGACATATGTGATATGAAATTTGTATAAAAATAAAAAAAACCGCTGCATGAGAATGATTGACTAATTCAAATTAGTTGGCTATAAGTTACCATATATAGGTACAATCTTTTCTTTAAATAAGATTTATAATGTAATCCTAAGTAATATGAAAAGAGAGGCATAAGAAGACTAACTGATATAATATAATATGTTGATTGGCAGGAACTGACGACTTCTTATATGTAAGTTACATGACCTGCGATTTGTAATATGAGACTGATTTCTGATAACAGGACTTCTATGATTGAGACTCATTCTTATTTGGTTTAAAGGGCCTACCGAACTTGATATATGAAAAAGATCATAGGTAGCTAGATATCTTACCTTATATATTTATATGACATAAGCATTTGTTATGCATTGTATAAGTAATATAATTTAATATGATACAAATATGTTACATAATTTGACTCATACATACATATGACAAGGTTGAATAATTGATTCAAAGATATATGATATAAGAAACAAATGATATACATGTTATATTGCATATAATAAAACTACATAATGTACATGCATTGATACCTAATGTTGTACGACATGTAGAGAACATATATTAATTAGCTTGATATGACAGGTATACTGATATACATGAGATGAAATTTATAATAATGTAAAGTATAGTTCTTTGAAATGTAGAGATTCATAACATAAATGGTATATCGTAACTTAGCATTGATATGTAAATGACATAACATATTGATTTTTATAAGGTTACTAATCAATAAATCATATTTATATTGCTATTGATTTCTATTGCTCATATGAAATGGTACTGCTCATATTGACTGTTACGTGATCTTACAATTGCATGTTTATACTAATCTGGGCTAAATGATTACATACATATTATTTCATTACTTTGCATTGATTTATATGTTCTAGTAATCTACTATTATGTTAGCTCACTCCGTTGTTTTTAAATATTTTTTGAAGAGGGTAAGAAGGAATGGAGTAAGGCAGATCACTAGTTTTATTTTCTGTATTTTGAGTTTATTCTTTTGTGGCCAAGAATAAAGAATGGTAGATTGATATTATACAATGAATTAGTGGCTATTGTACATGTATTTTGAAAAGGATAACAAAACTTACAAATTGATGAAAATGATTATTAATTGTTTCCACTGGTTTTAGTTAATATATAAGATTAGTAGTTTTGATAGATTAATTAAGAAATAAAATAAACGAATATTCTAAATTTAGATCTTGGGGCTTTACAGTAAAGCTTTATTCAATTATCAGAAAGAGCATCATTTGTAATATATGATTTATGCTATGAAATCATTTTTATTTGATTAGCCCTAATGATTTATTTTTCATAAATTATTCCCGTAAAAGCCTTATATCTCTAATGAATTATTCTCATTTTATCTTATATGTTTATGTGCATTATCATTACACAATGCTAATTAATAAGATAAACTCCCCCTACTGCTATAAGTATTCTAGCACACAATAAAATTTGAGAACAAAAATGATGTTTATGGTTATAATGACTATACTAACAATTTAGATCAAAT